AAAAAAAAAAAAAAAAAAAAAAAAGAAAAAGAAAAAGAAAAGCTCCATTAAAAAAAAATTATTAGTCTGGAATTAATGATACAACATGGATAAATCTCAAAATAATTATACAGAGTAAAAGAAATCAGACCAAAAGTGATTCCATTTATATAAAATTCTAGAGCCAGGGATTTAGCTCAGTGGTGCTGCCACCTGCCTCACAAGCGCAAAGACCCGAGTTTGATTCCCAGTACCAAAAAATAAATAAATACATAAAATTCTAGAACATGCAAACTCATCTATAGTAACAGAAAGCAGATCAGTGGTTACCTGGTTAGAGGAGAGCAGGTGGTGGAGATGGAAAGGATTCTAAAAGTGCATCAAAAAACCCCTTTATGAGTAACAGTTTTATGGATGTTTATACATATCAAAACCCCCAGAATGTACACTTTAGTTTTATTGTACACCAATTACATACACATCAATGATGCAAAGAGGCTGACAAAATCACTTTTCATAGCCACAAAAGCTTTATCTTCTTTAAAGCAGCTAATATACCATCTACTGATGCAATTCCTGGTTACCCTCAGAGCCCACACCCTGATATGATGACTTGGTAAGTGAAAATAATTACACCCACCACTGATAGTACCTACAATTGCTAGGCACTGCGTTGGGCACATTATAGAGAGAGGATTCTTGGAAAAGAGTACTTGGAGCTGAATTTAAGGCTTAAACTGGAAATCAAGACAAAATTAAATAGGTGTTATCTAAAATCTAGTGAATATCTTACAGTAACCTCACATTTCAGGCTCCCTTTGGTAGCACATACAACCTTATTATCTACTTACCAATCAAAGGCAATATATGCTGAAAGCAGATAATGTCTGATTCATTCATCCAGATTTTTTTTTAAAAGACAGGGTCTTGCTATGTAATTCAGGCTGGCTTTAAACGAATATGTAGTACAGACTGGCCATAAACTTGTGGCAATACTCCTGACTCAGCTCCCAAGTACTGAGATTGCAGGCATATGCTACCATGCCCAGCTGAATGATCCATTTAGATCTTTAAAAGTGAGGTTTTGTGAACTGTCCAAAGTCATATAGCTCATAGGACCTCTTGATCATAGGTCTTCTGACTCAGTCTAATGTTCTAGCCAGGTTACTTCTCTCTCATATTTTTATTTTGTTGGTGTTTTTGGTTTTAGTACTAGGAATCAAACTCAGGACTTTGTGCTTGCTAGGCAGGTATGGCGCCACTGAGCTAAATCATCAGCCCTCCCTCTCATGTGGTTTACAACCTAACTTTAAAAGAAATAAAAGGACTGGGAGTAGTGGTACACACCTGAAATCTTGGCACTCCCAGCTCTTGGAGAATGCGATGGGAGGATTCTAAATTCAAAGCCAGCCTGAGATAGAAGCAAGAGTGTATCTCAAAAAGAAATGGAAAATGAAACAAATTCAGCTCTTATTTTCTTGTTGCTAGGACAAAATACCTGACATCCACAAGTTAAATGAGAAAAGGTTTACTTTGGCTCACAGTCTAAATTTCAATCCACAGTTGGCTGGCTCCAAGGCAGGGTAGCACGGCAGAGGAAAAACCGTTCATAACATGGCAGGCAGGAAGCAGTAGCCTTCCTCACCTTTTTATATTCCATCCAGCTACTGAAGATGGGGCTCCCCTCTTCAGCAATCCAACACCCAGTTATTGTTCCTATAATCCTGTATCACACCAATGATTGCGTCACCTACCCACAGCCCTGCCTATGAGCATGTCTTCACATCTGGTGGGCATCTAGATATAGGCTAGATATTATTTATTTCCAGGTTCTTTCTTTCTTTTTAAAAACCTGATATTCATTACTTAATTTGTAAAGCTTCCATGCAAACATTTCATTCCTGGCATCTGAATTACTATGAAAAGGTCTTTGGGTTTTGTTTAAGTGGTTTTACACTAATGGCTTCCACTAAATAATTTTACATAGGCACATGTTAACCTCTCTGAATCTTAATCTCATACGAATCTTGTTTGAAAGGCTCAGTGAAGTGTTCCCTTCAGTGATTCTGTTAGGCCCAAAACAGTCAAAGAAGGGGAAAAGTTAAAAAAGAAAATCTACCTTGAAGTTGGAAAATGAGGTACCTTTGTACCTTTTTTTTCCTTTGTCTTAATCTTACCCTTTTTCTGTGCTTGTTCTCTTTCTGCATTTTACTTTTATGTTGAAGATAGGTTCTCAGAATCTAACATTACAATTCAGACTTCAATCAAACTCTATATTCCTAATTCCACTGTCCACTCATGCCCAGTGTCAAGTTCCTTGGAGTCAATTTTGACTCGTCTCTTTCTTTTCTTTCACTCATCCTACAGTTGTCGTCAAAGTTGGTCAGCTTCTTTTTATGATTTTTGAGTTATCTACTTCTCTTTCCTTTTCCTTCTTCTCTGGCTTAATACTGGCTGGTTTCCTTTCCCTTAGGAGTTTTCAATTGGCTCCTTTACTTCTCCAGTAGAAGCAAGTGGTGTGATAAGTCATCTTAAACTTTCTTCCTTGAGTCCTTGAAAACTGTGTAAGAATTGCTTCTCCATTCTCAGGATGTTGGATAACAGAAATGTCCCGTTCACCAGTTTCAATCCATGGTTGACTATTTCCAAGGCAAAAACAAGATGGGAGAAGAAAACATGTTCAATGAGTGGCAGCCAAAAAGCAGAGAGCCTATTTTCTTGAAGTATTGGGGAAACCAGGGCCTCTACACTGAGCTAACCTCCCACTCATCCCACCTTTTTTTTTGTTTGTTTGGTACTGGGATCAAACTCAGCACCTTGTGCTTGTGAAGCACTATAACTATAATAGTACATAAGATCCTAATGAGATAACTGACAATGTGAAATAGGAAGAAAAGGGCTAACGGTATAGGGAAAGTGAGAAGGGTAGGGGAAAGGTAATAAGGGAAAGAAAAAAAATAAGAGAAATTGAAAAAATGGAAATAAAATGTTTGTAAATGGGGAGGGGAGGAAGGGGTGAAGGGAGGGCAGGGACAAGGGGAAAAAATGAGAACCAAGACCTGTCATGTAAAGGTACAACATCCAGCCGGGCGTGGTGGCATATACCTGTAATCCCAGCACTTGGGAGGCTGAGGCAGCAGCATCGCTGCAAGTTCGAGACCAGCCTGGGCTATATAGTAAGTTCCAGGGCAGTCTCAAGTACATAGTGAGACCCTGTCTCAAAAAAAAGTACAAGATCCCAATGATGAATGTAACTGTACTGAATACTTAAAAAGTACCAATAAACTCAATGAGATAAAAAGAAGTGATTGAGGGCCGGGGATTTAGCTCAGCGGTTCGGTGGCCTGCCTTGCAAGTGCAAGGACCCGAGTTCAATCCTCGGTACCAAAAAAAAAAAAAAAGAAATGATTTAAAAATCTATATAAAGACAGTATTTTTGCTGAATAATAAATGTAAGGGTACAAGATCCCAATGATGAATGTAACTGTACTGTATACTTACAAAGTCCAGTAAACTCAATAAGATAAAAAAGGAAATGATTTAAAAGTCTGTATAAAGTCAATATTTTTGCTGAATAATAAATGGCTATATCCCTTAAAAAAATAAAAAACCTCTGGACCTTCAAAATATTCCTTTCACTCATTTTAACTGCTAAATCTACACAAATTTTCTAAGAATTAGTTTTTGCAGTATTCCTAGTCCTCTCTAAATAAATGCTTTTGGTTGAACTGCTTTTTTTGTTGCCAGATGTGGTAGCGTATCGTTGTGATCCTAGCACTTGGAAGACTGAGGCAGGAAGGTCACCAGGAATTCAAGGCCAGCCTGAGCTACGTAGAGAGTTCAAGGCCAGCCTGAACTTCTGAGACTCTGTCTCCAAAAACAAAAACAGCCAGGGATTTAGCTCCAGCTCAATGGCACCATGCCTGCCTTGAAAAAGCAAGGTCCTGAGTTCCAACCCCAGTACTTGAAAAATAAAAACAAAAACACTATGTAGTTCAGGCTAGCCTTTAACTCTCAGCCACCTTGCTGTCTCAGCTTCCCCAGAGGTGGGATTATAGGCATACAAATCACACCAGGCTCAAGAATTCATGCTGTTGGGCTGGGGATATAGCTCAGGGGCAACGTACCCACCCTGCAAGCGCAAGGTCCCAAGTTCAAGCCCTGGTACCAAAAAATAAATAAATAAATAAATAAATAAAAGAATCAGTCACTGTTAAGTGAAGCTACATACCAGGGGTAACAACACAGCAAAAACCAAACTTTTTACAAGTTTTCTATTCTCTAGAGATAAACTCTATGTATGAAATGTTTACTCAGAAGTCAGCAATCTTATTCAAATACATATTTAGTCATACACTATATAATAACATTTCTGTCAACAATGGTGTACATATATGGCAGTGGACTCACAAGATTATTTTTAAAGTTTTTTTCCACTACTGGGAATTGAACTCAGGACCTTGAACTTGCCAGGCAGGCATGGCACCACTAAGCTAAATCCCTAGTCCTATTTATTCTTTTTGAGACAAGGTTTCATATGTAATTCAGGCTGGCCTCAAACTCAGGGCAATCCTGCCTCAGCTTGGTGAGTGCTGGGATTACAAGCATGCACCACCATGCCTCGAAGGCCAGTAATTTTCAAATTCTCTTTATGTCCTAATTAATGGGTTAAGGTCCATTCCATCCCATCCATATATACACTATATTCTTTCATCCCTGCTCCAAAAACTATATTAGAAGCCTACAATTATGGCTGGCTGTGCTTAGACTTTTAACATCAGTAATCCTAAAACCCAACCCACCACATAAACCCTATTGCCAAAGGGGCAAAGAAGAGTGAAGTCCACTGCCACCCAAGTTCAGGAACAATTCACAAAACGCCGCAGTCCCACAGGCGATGGGGGCACCATGTCCTGAGTGAACTCACTGAGCTGGGCACAAACACCTCAAAACTGAAGGTAGCTTAATTAAGAACATAACAATGAGAAAAATAAAACCAAAGAGAAAGGGACAAGAAAAGTGAAAATAGAAGGAAAACATGGGGGGAAATGACTGTATTTGAATAAATGTAGATGTCTATACACGAAAAAAAAGTCAGATCATGTTTAACTCAAAAAACAAAAACATTGCCTGCATGACTGCTGTCTCCATGTGTAATAAACCAGATTACTCTTTTTCTTTATTGTTTTTGGGTTTTTTTTTTTTTTTTTGAGACAGGGTCTCCCTATGTAACCTAGCCTGGCCTCAAATTCGGGGTGATCTTCCTACCTCAGCCTCCCAAGTATTAGCAAGAAGATCGCTGAGTTGGAGGCCAGCCTGGGCAACATAGTGAGCTCAAGGCCAGCCTGAACTACATAGCGAGTTCCAAAAATAGGGCTGGGTATTTAGCTTAGTGACGCCGTGCCTGCCTTGCAAAGACAAGGTCCTGAGTAGTAAATAATAAAAAATTAAATAATAAAAAATAAAATGAAATGATCCGGTAAGTAATTTACTGGTATCTTCTCTGCCAAACCAACATCTCAGTACTCAATCCTCACCATATACCTCACCATATGGCCTCACCATATACCTCCAGAAATCTATGTCTGAAAAAGTTAAAAGTCTTTTAACTTTTTTTTTTTTTTTTTTTTTTTTTGGTGAGGATAACACAATGAATGTGAGTTTTCAGGGTACGTGAAAACGAGAGGGGAAAAAACTGTTATTAAAAACAGGGTGTTTTTGCCCAGACTGGACTCGACTTTGCAATCCTCTTGCCTCAGCTTCCCAGAGTGCTGGGATTACAAGCGGCGGCCACCACGCCCAGCATAAGAAATCTCAATTCCCTCATCTGCCTGAGTGGTGGCACAGGTGACTGAAAGCACATGTTTCCTCTCAAACTGCAAACGGTCGACGTTCCCTCTCCAATAGGGATGACTTTAGGGATGACGCTGCAGGAAGTGGAAAAGATCTAAGCCACTGGCATCCTTGAAGCTGCATCGTTATCGGTATAGGAGGATGCCTAACTCTAAAGTTCTTTCGGTGGGCTACATTTAGATAATGAATATGTCCAGAACACAATAAGCAAAAACCCGTGTTTTGTTTTTAATTTTAAAAGTAGGCCTGATTCTATTAATGAGTTTTTTGCCTGTGACGTCAGGCGAGGTGCCACTCAGCAACGTCATACATAGGTGACGTAAGGGGGACAAGGTTTGGGGGTTTCTCACCAGTTCCGGGTCCCCGCAGGGGGAGTTCCGGTTTTCTCAGTTCCTTTAGGTGTGTGGGGGGGCGCGAAGTTCAGCTATTTCCTACAGTTTCAGCTGTGAAAGCAGCACTGCAGCCGGAGCTGCTCCTCTTCCCGCAAAATGGCGAAACCTCCACTATCTTCCAGCGCCTTTCGCAATCTGCGCATGCGCCACAGCACTAGGCGCTGGCTCTATACCCGCGTTTTTGGCGCAATATTCCAAAATACAAGTTTTCATTGGCTTATATCCTAGTTGTGGGTGGAGCTAAACTCAAGTGTTTCTTAGGGCACAAACACCTCAAAACTGAAGGTAGTTTAAGAACATAACAACAATCAACTTTCCATTGATTGGTTAATGCCTCACACTCAAAGGTGAAAGCCTTAGTTGGTAGACGCCCATCACTCCTACCATTGGTTAAGTGATTGCGGAAGGCGGGAGAAACCGGATCAAACAAGAGTGAAGGACCTCGGCAGGGGTTCTAGCTGTTGTTCCGCTGCCTGCCTCGCAAGTGCAAGGTCCTAAGTTTGATTCCCCAGTACCAAAAAAAAAAAAAAAAAAAAAAAAAAAAAGAGTGAAGGACCTACTTGTCCCACTCCAGATTCAACGCTTTGAGCAGAGCCAAAGAAGGATGAAGAACATCTTTGGCTGTTCCTAGTTTGATTTGCCAAGTACGTGCTCTTTCCAGAGACGGCTTTGTAAAGAGCAGTTGCGCTTTTTCACTTGGGGAATGCGGAACTCCACATCCCCATTCTGAGCAGGTTCTGTACCCAAACCTCTGGACCATCGCCTGCTGAACTCAGTACTTGGGACCTGAAAGTCTTCTCACAGACTAATCTGCCACAGAACCTGGTCCCAGAGGTTACATACCTTCAGCTCAATCAGTTCCCCATATACCACCCACTTCAAGGGTAAAATTGAGTTTCTTAGGTAGCGTAGTATTTTGACCACTAACCAGAAAGAACTGATATCCACCTTGTTTTGTTTTGGTTTGGTTTCTTGAGACAGGGTCTGTCTAGTTCAGACTGCCCTGGAACTGTGTAGCCCAGGCTGGTTTTGAACTCATGGCGATCCTCTTGCCTCAGCCTCCCGAGTGCTGGGATTACAGGTGAGCGCCACCACACCCAACTTCCACCTTCATTTTCTAAGTGTTTCCAAGACCCCCTCCTAGAGACTTCATCTGCCAAATATAGCTGACAAAAGCTTCACTGGTTAGTTGGAGGACCTGTGCTCCAGTTGTCATATGTACTGATACATCATTCTACAGACTTCCTTCTGCAAAATGGAAGTTGGACTAATGATCTTAGTATTTAAGACTAATCCTGTGTGGTGTTTTGTTTTTGTTTTTCTGAGACACCCTATCACATCTAGCCCAGGCTGCCCAAACTTGTGATCCTCCTGCTTCAGCCTCCCAAGGGCCGGGATTATGAATGTATGCCACTATGTCCACCGTTGTGATTTTATTCAAATAAAATAGGTAGCCTCTTGCTGAAAGTTTCTCTTCCGAAGGGAAGCTGGTTTCACTATCACAATTCTCTGGTGTCTCCTCCCCAGAGCCTAACCATGGATCCTAAAAGACAATAGCTCACTGGAAGCTGGTCAGAAAAGCCTGGATGCAAGAGTCCAAGAATTACATGTTTGTGTGTGTAGTGTGGTTCCAGGGATGGAACCCAGGGCCTCAGGCCTGCTAGGCAAGTACTCTGCCACTCTGCTACACTTCCAGGTCTCACTTGGTTTTTGTTATCATTGTTTGGTGGTACTAGGGTGGGGATCCAGGATTCACACTGAGCTACATCTCTAGCCCATTATATTTTTAAAATATAATTCTGAGATAGGATTTGCTAAGTCACCCAGGCTGGGATCCAACTTGCAATTCTCTTGACTCAGTCTCCCAGAGTGTTGGGATTACAGATAGAAGCTACCACAACCAGCCTCTCACTGTTTCTTTCTTTTCTTTTCTTTTTGGTACTGGGGATCCAATTCAGGTCCTTACGCTGACGAGGCAGGTGGAAGAACCACTGAGCTAAATCCCCGGCCCTCATACTCTGTTTCTTAAACTAGGTTCTTTGGATCTTAGCTAAGGACACAGATCTGAATAACATTCCTGGGATCTAAGTGAGGTGAGGAAAAGGAGGCGAGGGGCAGCAGAGTAGTGCAGGAAAGAGCCATAACTTCACTTTATTTGTATTTCCTCTTATGCAAAACCATCAAAACAAGGACAGAGGAGGGCAGGGAAAGGGCTGAAGATCGTTCAATCACATGTTTCAGGGCTATTCTACGGAGTCCTTAAGGCTGAGTGCCTGTTGATGCAGCTCCAGATCCAACACTAATTCCTTACACACTGGCCCACTTTGTAGAGTGCTGGCTTGAGCCCCGCAATTAATTCTTATCCTTTGCCCATCTTGATGTAAGGTAGGAAAGCAGACTGGACTGCTCCTCTCTGATGGGCAAAGGGATTCACAGATGTACTGCACCCTTAGGTGTACTGCACCTTCTGTGCTAGCTAGGCAGAGCCCAAAGCTGCTTCCAAGGCTCTAGACCCTTGCACACAGGCCTAGAGGCCAATGGTATATGAGCGGCCTGTGGGGTTGTGAATAGCAGAGCAGACTGGTGCTGTCACAGCCCATTCATACCAGACCTTCTTGGAACTGCTGCATCGCCAGAATCGCACACAGATGGTCTGGCCTTCATGTACCGTAATGGGCTGCTGTAAGAAGGAAGACAGGGAGGTTCAGGGTAGAACTAATGAGATAGATGGAGCAATACTTAGAGGAGGTGTAGATGAAATACATGAGAGACTACTCCAGCCCACAAACACACGTATCAAATCTATCAATAGGAGACAATCAAACACTGACCAAATAAAGGTGCGCTGGGTGCTGTGAATATGTACAGGGTGCCATGAAAACACCTATGAAAGGGAATGCTAACCTTGGCTAGGAGGTCAAGGAAAGTTTATGTGACAGCAGAAATGTTCAAGGAGACCTGAAAGATTACTTAGCTGGGTGGAGAAATGAGCAAAGAACTTTACAGGTAAAGCAGAGATGTGGGAAACCTGAGGCAGGAAAGTCCCAAGTAATACAGGAACCAAAAGAAGGCTTACAGGGTTGAGGCAGTGGGAGCCACAGAATAGCAGCTAAAAAGGCAGGCAAAACTATACTAATTCTTATTAGCAGAGATGCTGCAAATTCTGGCCTTTATTCCAAAGAGCACTGGGAAGGCACTGCAGAGATTTACACAGGAAAAAGAGAAGATCAGAGCTGTTAAAAGATGACTCCTGCTCAAAGCAGAGAATGGAAACGTTGAGGCAACTGCAGATAACCCCAACACCAAGGAGCAGAATATGGGTCATAGCCAAGTATCACCATCGGGGAAGGAAGGAAGGGCAGAGCACCAATGGCAAAACTGACTCCTTCACCCAGTCTTAAAGGTAATTCCTACCTTAATGGGGAAGAGGATGGGAAACCATGAGAACATCCCAGGAGAGTGAGTCTCCGGATGGATACCTGTGTGGACAAAACAATGAAAAAATGAAGGTCCCCACAGACTCTGGAACTCCCCCTGAACCTAAATGACACATGTACACAAGCTGCCCAGGCTGTACACCCTTGGACCCTGCCATTCCGTACTGCGACTCACTCAGAGTGATGTCCTGATAGAGCACAGTCTCAAAGTAGCCTGCAAAGCCATGAAGCACTGTGTTCACCTCCACAGGAAACTCCAAGGTGCAGTAGCGGTTGTTGTCAATCATAGGATCTGTCAAGAAAGAACTGGGTGGTGGATGAGGGGCCAGAAGCCTGGACAACCTGGTAGAACGTGAGCATGGTCCAGGAATGGAAGCCTAGCTAGGGCAGACTCAGAAGAGCAGTGGGAGAAAGCAGGCGGGTGAGCTCAGACTTCGCTAGTCAGAGAGGACAGCCATGCAGGAACCTACCTCTGTTGGGATGGCTGAAGGTGAAACAGGGTTGGGGAGCAGAGAGCTGGTGGAAGTTGTGCAGCCGTACCACGTAAGGCATCTCAAACTGGGCCTGTCCCGAGTGAGAGGGGGAGAAAGAGAAGGAGAGCTGCAGAAAACGGACAGGACGCCCACTTCCCCAGGGAAAGAAGCTCAAGCCCCAAAGACACAGAAAAAGAAGAAAACAGTTTCACTTCAACCACTCCCCCCGCCCACTGCTCCTTCACTTTAGTGGAAGAAAGCTATAGGACTAAAGGCAAAGTACTTCTTTCGGGCAGAGAGACGCTCTCTCTTTACCTCAGGATCACGGTCCTTTTCTCGACAGGCTCGGACCTCATTGTACAGCTTGGAGGAGGAGATGGGAGCCAGGAAGGAAGTGTACTCCCCTGGGATGCTCACACCATCATCTGCAGAGCAGGGGTCGGATTAGTTCCCAAGGGAGGAAAAAACTCATGTCTCCCACATCGAAACCGGCCAAGGCTGGCAAAGGCACAGCAGGAAGAGACAGCTTGATATTGTCACATTCCTAGGCTAGTCTGCTCCCAATTCCTCTCATGGGAGATTTCACTGCTAGCTTAATTTGCAGTCACAGAAGATTAAAACTGAAAGAACCTAAGATACTCAATCATGTGTTTATTTTAATAATGGGGCAAGTCCGGAGGCAGGCTTTGGACCCTGTGTGAATATAACAGTGTACTTAACGCAAAGATGGCTACAATATCAACTACATGATATAGTCATTATGAGACTTGTTGATGGAAATGTCATTAGGTATTCTAATCTGGTGGTTCTGAACTTGTGTGTGAAGTCACAAAGTTCCACAAAAGTTCCTGATGAAAGCTAAGCCCAAGGTACATCTGCAAGCTCAGGGAGTCCGTAGTCCTCAGGTAAAGAATCTGCTCTACTCTCCTCCCCTCAAGGGCAGGGAGTGGTAGCTTGCAAAGTCATGATTTGACCCAAGTCCAACCATCACCCCCTAGACCCTGGAACCTTCTCCCAGCCTGCTGCCCGCTTTATACACCCCACCCTGAAGACACCTTTCAGGAAGTGCTGTGCTCCATCCAGACATTCAGGTGACAGCTCATTGTCAGCAAAGGAGCCCAGAAGCTCACTGACAATTATGTCTGCTTTCTCTGGAGCCGCCCATTCCCTCATGTCTGATGACACTACTGTCACCTGGCTCCCCCATTCTTCAAACTGCCAGTTCTCTAGCCTGAAACAGAGATCGTACAGGTGAGAAACGATGTTACGGAAAACGGGCAACAGGGACAAATTTCCCAGCAGGCAGGTTCCTTCCTACTCACGTCACCACAGCATTTGGGTTCTTCTCCACAGCATACAGCTTTATCCGCCGGTTAGCCTGCTTGGCAGCCCGCAGGGAAGCATTCACAAGGGGACCCC